ATCAGCACTGAGACCGAATCGGGATTCATTGCTAAAGATCACACGTCTACAATCGGTCACACTCCAACTTTCCTGAGTTCATCAAAAATCCAATTGACACTGCCTATGACACGAGGTCAGTGACAGGCATCTTATTGGACATTGGGCAGCATATACCAGCCTCGGCAGTTGTATCCGAATGGTTTTCCTAGATACCATCGGATGCGTGGAAGATGGAAAATGGCCTCAAATTGATGCTAGCAACGTTGTTGGTGTGAAAGTGACCACTTGTATAATTGTGCAATCCTTGCATTTATCTGTGTTCCTGGGGTGCTCTAACCCTCCAGTACAGTAGACTATCCATTCCGTAATCCATTGTCAGCAACATGGAGCAACTATTATATCGCTCTAACTGAGGTGGCAGCTGATACGCTGCTACCAACGTGCTTTTCTCAGGCCTACTATATGCTCTTTCTCTGACAACTGTTCGTACTGCCACTGGTAATGTCTCAGAGGCATCTCTAGTCACAATAACCATCTATCCAAGTTTACAGATTTGTTTGAATAACCCTATGACATGAGCAATCATGCTTTTAAATTCTCATATGCACACATCACACTCACTCTTGTCTCACTGGCTTCGAAATTTAAATCAATTGCATATCTTTTCCCAGACTACATTCCTGCCAAGTTTCATGATTGTGGCTATATTTCTTCTGGGTGCAATTTTTTTTTTCTTTTTTTGTGTGTGGCAGAGTGTATTTTTTAATAATGAAATCTGTGTAGTTACTAATGAATATCTGAAAGTTCAGTTGCTAATTTGTATACTCAAACAGTAAAAAAATATTTGCATTTTTACTATTTGTATCTCTTTAACATTTTGACATGCGCGATATTATTTTTATAACTTTTTTTTTAACTAAGAACTCTAGAAATTTAATATTATGATCCTAGAGACAAATAATATATGAATTAAAAATCTACTCTTGCCCATTGTTCTGCGGGTGGTGGTTGCACTGTGAAACCACCGCGCGTCTAAGACCTTGAAACTTACGGAGGTTGTGGGGGGGGGGCACTTACCTTTCTCCGTGCACGTTTCCAATAAATGACAAAATTTTTAAGAATTGCATTACATATATATTTTTTGACATTATTTAACAAATCATTAGAAAAAAATAAACATTTATGCAATTTTTCTATAGCAGTGAAAATATAAGTTCCTACATAATAAGGACATTTGGCTAAATGGATAACTGGTTGAACTTCCTGTACCGCCATTAGACGCTTAACAAGGCTTAGTGGAGCTATTTAATTAAAGAAATATTGAAATCTAAAACAAGGCCTAAATCAGGCCCATTAAGCAGTAGAACTATCATTTTCCTACCTGAAATAACTTAAAATAGAATAAACAACTAAAATATGAACTTAAAAGTCTAGGAGCTGGTGAGATTTACCAGCTTCACCAACAAAAGCACATGCCTAAATAGATAAAAAAAAAAAAACTTCATAAAATAATAATAATTTTAAAAAAAGAGAGAGAGAGAGAAACTGTTTTTTGTGACACTGTTCAAAGCACGTTTTGTTTTTTTGGTACATGCACAGACCCACATAGCACATTTCACACATGTATCTTCTATGAGGATTCTTCCGTGTGCTACAAAATGTACACTACCTGGATCTAAATATCACTGGTATATGTCCAGCGTTATTTAGTTTCTTTCATCTGGCACGTGAAATTTGAGGCTTTTTATGTTGATGGGGGGGGGCTTGGTCCTTTTTGGCTTTGGTATGGATCATTCGTTTCCCATTCATACTTATTTTATTCGTATTTCGTCCCAAAATATCCAGAAAATATTTTAAATTTAAATAAAACTTTTTGCGATTTCTATTTTTAATTACACCAAAGTATATTTACATATAATTTAAAACACAGGAAATAATTTATAAAATCACAATACTAGCTTTGGGAGCAAGTGTGCTGAGGTCAGAGAAAAGTCTCTGGAAAAGAAAGCCCTTTTTACTAGGCAAGTGCATGTATTGTTTAGTAATAAAATAACTCTGTGGTTTCAAAACCCCTTATCTATATCCGGGTAAAAATAAACATTCCTATTTGAGATGCAAGCAAACGCCATTGTGAAGAGCAGTGGTTTATCTGGCACGGGAAGGCGCGACCACCGAGCCTCTAGAGCGTTGTGACACAATGCTCTAGTGGTGCAGTGGTCGCGCCCTGAAACAACAAAGCAAATACCATACATATAGAGGTTTTTTTTTATATATATGCAATTTAATTATTGCCATTTTTTATTGTTTACAATAGAAATCACGATGTGCGATGAATAACTTTTGAAATTTAAAGTTGTTTATATTAATAAAAGTAAGTTAATTTGTCTCATTGAAAACGAGTTTTAAAAGGCATCCGGTTTGAAGTACTAAGACCTAAAATAGGTATGATTCTGCAGTTATTTTGGGTTATTTAGAGATGAAAGATCAGTAATCAATTGATTTTCACTCAAAAATTTCGGAAAGAAGAGGAGAAAAAAATTCGAAAATTGGTGGTTTCAAGGCATGACCACCGCGCGTCAAAAGGGGGGAAAAAAAATAATAATACTTTAATCAGTTTTCCTACAAATGCTATGAACAGTGGCAGATTTTGCTTTCATCAAAAAAGAAACTTCATAATTTTTCAACTGGCATGTAGGCCTCCTTTTGCTAACAAAAGTTTTTCCAATGTGTCATTACAAATATTAGATATAAATTTAGTTCTTGTTTTTGCAAAAACACTCAAAATCCTCTCGCACTGTGCACTATGAGGAATTGTCAAGATGACCACCATAATTCTATACAGTTCACTATACTTTAAAATTCCATAAGCATCTTTCAATTTTCCAATTAAACTCCACTGTGTATCGATCCTCGCTGATTTTATAACTTTAGCCAAGTTTTCTAATTCTCAACTTCAAAACTGCGAGTGCAGTTTATCAGTAATAACATCAATATAATTGTGTTTCATGACTAAATGAAGTAAAACTGGAAATCTATTTAAAAAATTCCTTATACCAGAGAAAATGCATTTTCTAGAGCAGACTGAAATAGCTTCTAACATGGAAATAAAACTTATTTTTGTCTTTCTCTGAAATTTCTTTTACTGCTTTGTTAGTTCCAGCCCCTATTACCAAACCTTCATCTTTCTTCTGATTTTATATTTCACTACAAATCACATCATATATAGAATTAGAGGACAAAACAAAGATTGGTTTCACAAACTTTGATAAAATGTCTTTAAAAAGACCATAAATCATTAATTGCAAAGCATGAATTAATGGAATTCTGCTTTGTAAAACATCTCTATTTAGGTATTAAGAACATCAAATGATGGCAAAATGAATTGTGTAAAAAAGGAAAAAGTTTTGTTAAGGTGTGAAGACAAAAACATAAATATTCGTTCTTCACAAGATTAACTTAAAGTAATTGGAATATGTTTCGCTTGTTGGGGAAATTTGTTTCCAGGGGGGGGGGAAGACATTTACATCAGCTTTACACTTATATTTTATAGTATTATTTCGAGAACTTCCAATTAAACTGCTCACTGATACAGAAACTACTGTATTCTCAGTTATCTTTTTAACAGTAGAAGTAGTAACTACATCTCTATTTATGTATTTTATAACTTTCAATACCTCCTTTTATCTCAACTCTAGAAGCATTTGCTTCTACTTTAAAAAATGCAAGAAATGGATTTCAGTGGTCGAGGATTATAAATAAACATTTCTTTAAAGATAGCCAGCTGTACACTGCTCAAAAATAAATAAATAAAAATGGGACAGTAGAATCTCCCATTCTACTGGACCAATTGACAAAATTCAAACTGCATTTTTTTTCATGTTTCGAAAGCGCGACTTAGGGTATATATTAGATTTATATATAGCACTATTCCAACATAGGTATTTTGACACACAAAATAGGACTTTTTCTGAAATAACATACCAATTTTTTCCCATATTTCGATTCTACAACTCAAATTATGCCAGAATACCAAGTTTTGTAAAAATCGTACGAGTAGTTTTTAAAATATTAGCTCTCAAAAATTTTAGCTCCTCAATGTTAATTGAATTTGGCAAATATTTATTAATATCTCTCTTTTTTTTATTAAACTTTTTTGATTTTTCCTTACCCATTTCGAAATTTAGGTTCATTCCAAATAAAATTTTACCCTACCCGCTTTTTGTGTTTTATTTTTTAAATTTCTATTTTTAAAACAATTTTCATAAATTTTTCGAAAAAATTTTTGAATTATAACCTATACAAATTTTACCATCATCTTAAAATAGGTGTATTTCGAAGCATACCTGCAAAAAATTAGACTTTTTTCATTCAAAAATTTTCTAAGATATACTACACGAATTTACATATTTTTTTGCATTTTGAAATTTGGCATCTTTTTCTTTGAGAGATATAATAACGCCAAATGTGGTTTATGGATTTTGTTACAGTGAATTGCCACAGCTACTTTTAACCTTAAATTTTAAGTAAAATTTTATGGAGAATTAATTATATGAAATTTTTCTCTCAATGATGTGTAATAATTATTTATTAATACTATATGAAAAGCTCTATTTTTGTAAAATATATGGATGATATTATTCAAATTTTAAAACTTTTTTTTTTTTTTTTTTAAATTTCCCTCTTTCTTTCTCTTCCTTTAAAAAAAAAAAAAATAATAATATTTGTAAGAATAAATTTTTATCTTCAGCGTTTTTATCGTCTGCTGCTTTACTTTTAACTTTGTTTAAACCAAATTGTCCAAAATTGAGAACTTTCGTTTGATGTTTATTTGAATTTTACGAAAATATATTATGACATTAAACTGCATATTTATTTCTAAACAAGCTGTTGCTTATAAAGTTGCTGAAAGAGCGGCTAATACTATCATCCATATTTTTAAAGCACAGTATATTTTTATAGAAACATAAGATTTAGAATAATAATTTTTATAAAGTCAAATTATGATATAAACATACAACCCTCTAGAGGAATTAATTGAAGTTCAATGGTTATGTAGAAATGATCTGCAGCTACTTAATGGCTGGATAAATCAGCAGGTTCTGTGGACAAGTAAGAATAATTATATAAACAACACCCAAATTCTGGATTCAATTAATAATGAGGGTTTAAAAATTTGTATTTGAACTTGAGCGGATGAAAAATGAATTTAAGAAAATTATTTATTAATTATTATTAAGAATTATTATTAAGTTTATTACTGAGTGGTAATTATTATTAAATTATTATTAGAATTTAAGAATTTATTAAATGAATTTAAGAATTTTTTTAAATATAAAAAATCAACTCATTTTTTTATCCTAAAATGTATTTTTTTATGCATAGCGTATTTTCATTATATGATTTAAAATTCTAATTTAGAATGTAATTGTCAAGAACTGAATTCTAATCATCAGTAATACAATAAGTAATTATTACGGTTATTACTAAATCCTTCTTATAAAGTAATTGCAAATATTTCAAAAAACTTTGAATGCAAATATTTTTAATTTTATATTAATCAAGATTGCACACGATATTATTTATTTGAACTTCATTTCTTACCGTCAGCTCTAGTAGAAGTTACAAACCAATCATATTTAATTAAGGAATGGCCATCTAAGTTTAGAAACAGCGTACCGTAACAGCAATTCAATTATTGGCACCATATCTTTCATGTTACTCCCGATTGGCAAGCTACATGATTTTTTAATAAGTATTCCGGACTTTGCTAGTAACTTCACTTGGAAATCGCGCTTAAACTAGGTTAGTTGGTTATTTGAACATAGAAAGAACATGGGAGCTATTTGGTTAAGATGCTTTCATAGAGAACCTTTGTAAAGAGAACCTAGAAAACTACGAAAAGAATGGGTTAACTTCACAACCATGCAGCCTGGGTTAGACTTCACAACAAACAATTAGTATTTAACAATCTTCAAATTGCTAGGCAACTGGTGAGGCTCCAATTTAAATCTCCAAGTTTAATATTTTTGTTTTGTAAATATTTAAAATATTGTTGTATTTAGTGTATGTGTAGAATTTAGTTTTGTTAACTCGTTAGTAAACTACCAAGCCGTAGTGCAAATGAATATTCAATTTCTTTTGCAATAATTGTATTCACTTAATATTCTTAGAATATGAGCTAAAGAAGGAATGTTCTCAGAAGATTAAAGAAGTGCTTAAATCCAGTGACATTAAGGCCCGTCCACACAAGTACGCTCGCGATGTAGTTGGCGCAACTTTTTTGACGCCGGCGTAAATTCGCGTGACGCAGAAGACATAAAACTGAGTTTGCTCCTGTTCAGCTTTTTACGTCGTAACGTGAACAACCCAATAGCTGACCGAGTTCTTATCACGTGTCATAATCAAAAAAACTTCTGCTTAACCGTTTCAATATGGCATGATAACCACAAGAGATGAGTTTTTTAGAAATATCTTAACTGTATACAGCAATAGCAGCATTGTTCATGCCATCTTCAGTTTTCTCAAACCATATATATCGGTATAAATTTCAAATTCTCATTAAGGGGAAAACTCTACATTTATAAAGCAATGATCCGACCAGTACATCCATATGTTTCACACTGTTTGTAACACCGTAATAATAGGAACCTAAATAAATTACAGTTTCGACGAAATCAAAGTTTCTGCCTTACAAAATTCTCCTTAATTATTATAAATATTGGCTATATCATGTGTAATATAAGAGCTCTACAAATATCACAATATAAATACCACACCAAAAACTAACTTCACAGCAATATAACAACTTCTAAAATAAAGCTTGACTGTGAAAGAGTATTCAATAAATACAATTATGAAATTTTGGAGGGAAGTTACAACTTGTCATACAGCAATCATTTATTGAAGTTTAATTAAATTACCTTTGCAGTGACTTCTACTTGTTACATTATTTTTCACAAACATTGCTATAACCCAGATAGCTGAGTGGTCAGCGCGCTGCTTTGCAAATGGAAAGGTGGCGAGTTTGTACCTTACATGTAGACAGTATATAATTCAGTTAGCTTTTCTCATTTTGAAACGTGTTTCTATATTTAATCATGAATCATTTATATTCTTATTTTACCTATTATTATTATTATTGCTTTCATTTCTTATTTTATCATTATTATTATTATTGTTTTTCAATAGTTTAAAAATGTGCATTGCAAATAGAAACGCTTATGTAATAATATATCTGCATCTGTTTATCATATATCATCTATAAATTATCTCTTTATTTTTTACTTTATTGCGTATTTATCGTGCACATAATTTCTCATAAACTGTCCAAAGTTTTTGAACCTCATTCTAAATTCAAAAATAAATAAAAAGAAAAACAAAAAACCAAGGGAGGGGGAGTTTAAAAATATTGAAGTTGGTTTTATTATTATGGTGGATGGTGTCTGTATTTCAAACCAATTTTATAAATCCTAATTTTCATACAATATAGAATCTGCAAGTCTATCAAACTGGTCGATACTCATCCTGAAGTAATTAAAGCAAGTAATATACAAAAAAAAAAAAAAAAAAAAAAAAAAAAAGTCAATTCCTACTTAGGTCCACAAAGAAAAATTTAAAAATAATAATTAAAAAATTAAAAATACAAACAGAATTTTTTAAATTAAAATTAAAAAAAATTTTAATATGTGAAAAAGCTGCATAACATCAAGTCATCCAATACAAGTTTAAAAAATTGTATTTGAACTTGAGCGATGAAAAGTATTTTTATTAACGACT